CAAGTAAATATTCTACAACTTGTCTATGATTTCGTTTAGCTGCCCAATGTAAAGCTGTCCTAGAAAAGAATAATATATATATATATATATATCATTCATTTTTTTTTTAAATCAAATATCTTTCTTACCATCCATTCATAGCATTTTGACTATTAATATTTAAATTTGGTTTATTTGTTAATAAAGTTTGAATTTGATATAGATCACCATTACATGCTAATTCACGTAATAGTTCTTCATCTATTCGTTCTGAATTCATCTTTTTTTCTTCTACATTAAAAAATCATTTTTGGTTATATTTGTAGGTTCTTTTCTTATAACCAATAAAATCCAATGAAAATACCTCCTTGACATATAACGACAAAAAAACAACAAAGATTCTTAACTCAGATGGAAGCAGATATTGAATAAAAACTTTTATGAAAAAGTTTTATTTAACTTTTAAATTCAATCTAATTTAATCAGACAAATAAATATTAAAACTTATTTTCTTTTATTTTTGTAATGTAAAAAAGAAAAAAAAATATATATATATTTGTCAATTTACTATAAATAAATTAATACAAAATAGCAGTATCATCTCTGAATTGTCCTCTATATGCTTTACGCATTAATGTTGTATTTGAATATTTATTTATTCGATTATGATTTGTTTCTAATGGATTTTCATTTATTGTTATAATTGATGGTGGTGTTATGGAACGACAATAATCAAATGGTAATGGATCATTTGTTTGACGACAACTTTGAGAATATCTTAAAGGATTTGTTGATCTTTGTTCATGTTTTAAAGATAGACCATGATTAAGTTCATTTAAAATACGAAAATTTAAAGCATTTAATTGTTGATAAGATTGAATATCTGTAATTGGATTAGGTATTGGTGTCGATAGAACTGATGATGATGATGATGACATATAAATAGGTTCAGTTGTTGGATTAGTATAACAACTAAATATTAAAAAAAAAATTTTCTTAATCCATCGAGATATTGAATGAAATGAAAAAACAAAAACCAATATGTTGCAAGTAGATTCTCTTGTAAGGTGGATACGTATACGATTATTTATTAAAATTTCGTTTAGAAGAAAAAAAAACTACTTTATCTAATGGAAAACTCAAAAATAATTTTTATCCTCGTTTGATATAGAAAATACTTCATATATTCTTAATCTTGTCTTATGTGAAAAGCAAGACATAACAGATGTTTATGTATAGTCATATAACAAATGATATGCTTTCTTTTAACAGAGCCCGCCTCCCCTTCCGCGCTTCGTGCAATAGTGAAACCAGAATTTTGGGTTAGGAGAGGTTAAGCGTTCCCTCTGACTTCGCCATTGATTTCGTCACTCAAAATTTTTACTTTTTTGTAGCTATTGTAACGCAATGGAAATAGTGAATCGCGTTTCTCTCAAAATAACTTTTTCATGAAAATGAAAATTGCAGAAACATCTTCGTTTCTTCGATCTAATACGTCCGATCTCGCTGAAATTTTTTTTTATACATTTACTATACATTGTTTGAAATGGATATTTGTTTTTTGTTTCAAAAAAAAAAATTGTTCTGCTTATTTTTGATAGCTCTTACAAAGAAGCCTGTAAAAAATTTTCAGCTCGATAGAATACAGTATGTCGGAGAAATGGGGAAGTCCTTTTTCATCATTGTGATCCCAATATCTCATAGAAGACGGCATTTGGAAACTTTAAATCTATGACAACTTTTATTCTACTCATCAAGATCTACTTGTCCTGAAAATTTCAATATTTTCTGATGATTATATTTTATGCAATTTTAATGGTTGAAATCTTTTCTGACTGAAAAATCAAAAGTTTTTTTTTTTTGTTGAATTGGATTTGAAGATTTTAGACTTGATAGTTATGAGTAATGGATGTTATCAAATTATTTTGATAGGATGATTTCAATGCAGTAGTTTCATCAAGCTTAAAATCTCGAACAAGATAAATAATTCTGTCAGTGAAATGTACGGCTGAAACTAATTACTAATTATTCTTCAATCATATCGTATGAATAATTTTAGCTTTAAGCTATTTTTAATGTTTAAATCAATAAAATCTAATTATTTGATTTGAGAATAATATTATTAAGGGAAAAAATTTCTAATAGATCTCTCGATTAAATAACTAACTGAATATGTTAATAGATATTGTAAAAGAATTTATTTCATCCATATTTTCTTTTTTTTTTTTTATAAATAGTGTACATCAATTTTTTTTGTTACCGATCAAAATGATTTGTTCTTGTTGTTGACAATGTATTTTCATAATGCCATATATTAGTTGTTAATAAGGATTCAAGATGAAGTAATTTATCTAAATTTCTTACATTTTGATTAATTAAATGTGGTGAATCAAATGATAATGATATTGATGAATCATTTGTATTAAATCTTCGTTTTCTTTTCTTTTGTTTATTACTATAATATTTATTTATAAATACATTGTGTGAACGTTCATATTGTTGTCGACGTAATATAGAAGGATTTTTATTGCGATTTATTAAATTTGATTTACGACGGAGAATAAACCAAATTATGAAACAAAAAATTACAATAATTAATATAAAACCAATAATGCTAAAGACTACGGTGATAATTATTTTATTACGTTCATCCATTTATTAATAGAAAGACATAAGTAATAATAATAAATCTAAAAATTGATATTCTATTTACAAAGAATTGTTCATGAATAAGTAGATTTTTGTATATGTTCTTGTTCTTGAGTTAAACAAAAGTATAAAATACTCTAACAAGAAGAAGAGAAAGAAAGAAAAAATGATTTGAACTTAGTTTATGTACAAGTGTATTGTCGTGACAATTTTTTTCTCTTCTATCCGTAGGCGTACATTTACAGAGACTCTCTATGATGTATGTAAAGTTTTGTTACTTGAACAAATTCATCTGATGTTAATCTGCATAAAGAGAACAGAAAAAAAAAAAGAAGTAGAAAAGATTATCATGCAATATAACACTACTGTATAATAAATAAAAATTACAATATAATTTTAGTAATCCTATTAAATTGAGCAAATATAATAAATAAGGTACCAAAAACGTATGCGTTGATTATACTTTCTGTTCCTTTACATTTTGTCTCCATGAAAAAATTTCTTTATTTAAATTGATAAAACAGCATGGATTTATTCGAACAATTTGTTTATTTATTTTCTCAATTCCTTTTTTTTTTTCTTTAAGTGAAAGAAATAACAAATACGATTGAAAGCAAACAATAAAAGAAGTAGTGCTCACCTAATGTCATCAATGTCTTCAGTATAAGACCATCGAAGGTTAAAGAACTGTATAAATCAAATAAAAATGAAGAGAAAAGAATCATTGAAGAAAAAGAGTTTTTTTTTTTCCTTTATCCAATAGTACGACAAATAAATGTTTTAACAACATCAGATTGTTAGCAAATATGAATATTGAAATAGTTATATAGATACCAATTAACAATAATATTGAATATTTAAAAATACTAATTAATAATAGATGTATTCATGTTTAATACATCTGTAAAATATTTGTTATTAATTCTAGTTATTGTGTGATAGTCATGGAAGTGATGACAATCATATAATCTGCATTTCTATATATACCTTTTTCTTTAATCTGATAAGATTTTTCAGTTTTCTGGCTTTTTTTAATAAATGATCTTCAATAAACAGAATCTATCTAAATTTTTATTGTTTTTATTTATCCTTTCACTCAAATATTGATATTTTCTTTTTTATTTGTTTACTTTTGTCATATAAAATTCTATTCGAATGAATTTTATTTTTTCTTCATATGTCATCTATTAAATATATTTGCTTTTTACCAAGAAAAAAAAACAAAGAAAAAAGAAAAAAGACAAATTCATATCAATGTATAATCATTTTTCTTCAATGTCGATTTCGTTTTTTTTTTATTGTCACGTAATTTTTTAACACCTTTAGCTAAAAGTAAACCACCAACTACACCAACAAGAGCAGCAGCTACTGGTTTTACATAATTCGAATATTTAATAGCATCATCATCATCATCTTCTTCTTCTTCTGTTTTTTGCAATTTTTCTATACGATCTTGAATTTGTTGATTATAATCAGGTGGACGTTCAGGTGTTGTTGTACCATATTTACGTTCAATTATATCACGTACAATATAATTTCCTGGTAAACTATCAATTGAATTATTAATTAAATTTGATCTTCGACGACATATTGGACCTATTTTAATAGATAATAATATGAGAATTCAAACAGACAAAATAAAAATATTTACAATCAATTGCATTTGATGTACGTAATATGCTTGATGATGGTGATGCTAGATGTACTTTTAAACAATTGGCACAAAATGTATGTTGACAATCAAGAACTTTAGGATCATGAAAGATTTCCAAACAAATTGGACATTGAAGAAGATCATCAATATTAGAAGCTGTAGCCATGGAGAATTTTTATTATTTACTAAAAAGAAATAGAAATAAAAGAATTTATATTAGATGTTTATTTTTGGAACATTTTAAATATTGAAAAAGTATGATTCATAAACAAGATGAATAATTCTAATGAGAAATATAAGTTTGCAAAAGTAAACATCTGTTGAATTTGACAGAGGATTTTTTTTTTCAATAAACTAAGATGTTTTTACTCTTCGAATGAATTTCAACAATTATCGATATTCTCTTTGAAAGTCTTACCGAAAATGAGTCTGATTAACTTGAATTAAAATATAAAATCTATATGTCACTTGTCATAAGTTAGTAGTTACACATAAATCGATGAGTCATCATGACTACATCTAGAAAAGGAAAAAAAAAGTATGTGAGATAAAAAAGAAAACAAAAAGTATGCCAAACAGAAATGTAATCAAAATTTTGCATAGTTAGCTTTATACATGTTCTTTTTCTATATTATATATCTGTATGTACTTAATATTACAATTCAAGTCTTCTTTACATCCGATAATAGGATGTGTTTTTTTTTCTCTGTTATATAATATTACTTTAGATATTTACTAGCGTTTCAGTTTAATTTAGTAAGCCTGTAAATGATCAATCACATCTCGTTAGATTGGCATATATGTTTAGATAGTTTATTTTAAATTTATCTAGTCTTGGTGTATTTTTGGTAAATATCTGTCTTAGTTATTTATTTATTCATTTTATCCTTCTTTTAAGAACACTTATTTATGTGTTTATTGGATTCAGTTGTTTTTTTAGTATTGAAACACCAATTATCTATTATATAAATATATGGAAATAATAATAAAAAAAAACTTGCATACTATTTTTGAATAGAACCTCTGATATTCACGGTTATTAATATAATACGACTAAAATATTGAGCAAAGATGTATGTTTAAATAAAATACAAACTTCAGTTTTTGAGATCTGATGTAATCATTCTTTCAACTACTTTAGCATCTCTACCTGTTTGAAGTCTTTCATTTTTTTCCCGAACGGATAAAAGAATTGTATAAGTAAAAACTACATCGTTATGAATAAGAGTTGCTACATGAAATATCAAACGAAAAAGCAAATGACAGATGGTAAAACGATTTATTACAGTTTCATGTGTCGCACATTTTAGATAATAGCAATCTGATATGAAAAATAAGGTAATAAATGCCAGAACAACAACGATAAACTTTATTTTCGAGGCGTTAAAAACATTTTTTTTTATCATTGATATTCATCAAAAAGATTTACTATTCCATTTTTTGAAAAATTGAAGTAATTTCATAATCTTTAGTTTTAATAATGACTTAGTTTCATTGATACCTTGGGTTACGAAGATGTTATTATATGATCTTTATTTAAGCATAACACAACTGAAACAATCTTGCTTTAACAATTGAATCACAAGATGAACAAAAAACATAACAAAAAATGAAAGACATATTACACAGTACAAAAAAAAGCGCACACATTTCACAAATTACTTTTATGTTAAATCTTATTGTCTACGATTTTTAACATCATCCATGTAAGATCAACTCACATTCCACCAGCCGATGCCATTATTATACTTCTCAATAGGAACATCTCTTAATAAAAAAATAATATGACAATCATTTAAATAATCTTCTCGTATGAATTTGTACATATGTGCTCGAAATTCATTTACCTAGAACGATATTCAAGTGAATATAACACTGATTTTGTTAGACCCGTATCCGATAGATTTTCTAATATGTTCATTAACTTACTAAAACAATCCCTTATCTGTAAAAACGATCTGATATTTATACCAGATAAAATCAACGGTTGGATATTCTAACGATATCATAATATTCTAGGAAAAAACCTGAGATATCACATCAAAGAAGAAAAACTACAGAGGAAACAACCAAGAAAACATATAAGGGAAAATATTGGACTGAACGAAAGAAAAGAATCATCTATATGATAATAGTGTATATGTAAAGAAAGAGAACGAATGAACATATATGGATAAAACCATTATGGCATATCTAGGTACATGCCATAACAGATTTATATGGCAATACCAACCCTTGAAATAGAATTAGACAGCTCTTCATCGTTGTTGGAGTCCTACATTATCGTCACAATCGGCACTATCTGATGCTTGTGTTAAACATTCATCGAATTTGTCCTTCTTAATAATAAACAACGTGAACGCAGAATAGAAGACGAAAGTAAATCTTATGGTGTCAAAATTGAAGTAACGCATTAGACGTTCCAATAATTTTCGTATAAATGGCCAAGTAATGGGAACATCAGATGGATGAAGTATTGTGGTTGACCTGCTTTGAATGTCACAGTGTACAAGTTTGATATTAGTGTCGATTGCTACTTTTATGACGATTCAGTTCGCCTGAAATAACATGGAATATTGAAAATAGTTGGCTCTATGAGAGTTGATTATGTGTTTGAACTCATCAATAGTCATTTATTTTTATATATTTCTTATGCACAAGATCAGACACACTTTTATTTTTTGTCCATCTAACGACCATGAGAAAAGGAATAAAATGTTGGTCTGCGTATGTATTAAATATGCATATCGTCTCTGTTTCAACATACCATTCCTGTATATACTTGAGTTTATGTTACTATATGTTCGATCAATTTCGACGTTGTTTTGTACGTACTTATGTAGAATGAGGCTATGTACGTATCATAGATGTTCATTGAGGCTGAGAATCTGCCGCGATGGTATTCAAGAAAATGTTTCAATTTTCAATACCATGGCTGGTTTAAACTAAAACTGTTGTTGCTAATAAAGTGAAAAAAGCAGTATTGGTGTCTCTTTTATATATTGAGAGGCGGGATCGTTATAATCGAAGTAGTACAATAAAAATCTTTTCTTCTGTCATTTATCGCTATTTCTTATAAAAACGATAATTTCAAGCATAGATGTACATACATCAAAGTATGAACGAATGCGCTTTTCATTTCTCTTTTCTGTATTTCAATGTATGAAGTCTAATATTATTCTTCAATAGAATATTGTATCCTAAGAATAACATACGAATATTTTTCATTTTGTTTTCTATAAAATTTGTACATACTTCAAAATGAATTAAATGATGATAATAATAATTAAAACTATACTCGATTCGTAAGATTTCAATATTGATCACTTAATAACAAATTATATATATTATGTTTCTAAGTGAATAAAGCATTTCTTTGTTTTTCTTTTGCATTATGAGAAATATCTTATAAAAACCTTTTTTTTTTCTATCCTTTAAAGAAATCTTCTATTTCATATTTTAAAGTTTCAATCGTAAATGTTAAAAAACGATGAAATTTCACAAAAGAAAGATTTCAAGAATGGAATTTTTTCATAGTCGATACTCTAAACAGAGAGCAATCATATTGATTGAAAGTTCAACTTATAAGATCAAATTCTTTAGAGTTTTTCTTGATTTTATCGAGATCAATTTGCACTAATGACCAGAATGTTCATAGAGTTTTCTTATACTAATTACATTTCTTTAATTTAATTTTTGCTAAATCAATAATTTATTTCTAAATATTTGTTCTCTTGTTTTCAACAACAATAGATTTCAGAATAATTGAGAGATTAATATTTAATAATAAAAGAGAAAATTCAATTTCTTGCACTTAAACATAATAGAATATAAAATATTTCGTTATTGTTTTGTCGTACTTGATATTCTTGGTGATTCTGTTTCTAGTAATAACTAGATAACAAATAGAGAAAATCAATTATTAGTATTGAATACTTAAATGTACTCTTCATTCGTCATACGGTCGATCAAGATTTCCACATTTTTTTTATATGATTTTTATTAGTATTATTTACTAATTGAAAAAAATTCGAGTATCTTCTAGAATAATGACTTCTGACGATTACTGCTGAGGTCGATGACCAAGAAATTCATTTGATGAACTAGAAATACAAAGAAATTCGAATTCTAAATTTCATTTTATTTATTTGACGTTAGTGTAGTAGCTGTTTGCCAGCAATTTTTTGTGTTCTTATGCACATAGAAGAAGAAAGACTTGAATAAGCATGATAGAAGAAAATATATTTAAAATATTGTTTTATTTACAATAACATCTCGTTCATTTTTAATAATTCGATTCTAATTAGTTTCATTTGAAATCAAGTCATAAAATTAAAAAATGTTCGCATTATGTATTATAAGTTAAAACTCAGTAACATGTTCATCTATAGTAAATTAATGTTTGTTAGTTTCGATTATTTACTAAAGTAGTCAATGGAATCAGTTTTGCAAACGTTAGAAATTATCTTTATTCGAAAAATGAATAATAAGAACGGTGTGGGTGTGAGACATGAGAAGATTCAGTTCCGTAGCTACTCATATGTACTCAGACTCGAATTCCTGATGTATTTTTGCATGTTGATTCTGAAAATCATGCTTGTTGTCAATAAAAAAAACAACAACTTTTAATAATTAAAATCTAGAAATCTTAACCGTTTTTGAGCATTATATGTGAAAGAGACTCCATTCTAAAAGTAGTAATTTTTCACTAATACTGAAAATGTCCAATATCTGGCTGTGCTATCTCATATGATCATATTTCTCACAACAAAAAAATAATTTGAAAAAAAAACACTAACAGAGGAGGAGGTATAAGCCATAGAAAAAGCATCATATTATTTGATTGTTTGAAACTTGTTATTCAACCAAAATATTGATATTTTCTTTTTTATTTGTTTACTTTTGTCATATAAAATTCTATTCGAATGAATTTTATTTTTTCTTCATATGTCATCTATTAAATATATTTGCTTTTTACAAAGAAAAATATAAAAAAAACAAATGCAAATCAATGTATAATCATTTTTCTTCAATGTCGATTTCGTTTTTTTTTATTGTTACGTGATTTTTTAATACTTCTAGCTAAAAGTAAACCACCAACTACACCAGCAAGAGCAGCAGCTGCTGGTTTTACATAATTCGAATATTTAATATCATCATCATCAT